GTTATCTGAGTCCCAGCGTTGCTGCCATACTGCAATGGTTCTGCGTCTTACCAACTGCTTGTCGGTGTTGTTGTTTCCCATTCGTTTTGCCTGCCAACATGTTTTTCGCTCTTGAGCCTGTAGGTCAATAGGAATATTTCCAGTAATCACGAGAACCGCTGCTTCTGAAACGGTGCGATACGCTGAACATATCCTTAGAGCTGCTGTTCGCTGCACTGACGCTAACGCTCTTCTTCGGTATTTTGCTTGTAGTGCGTCTGCCCATATTTCGCTTCCGTATAGAAGAATGGAATTTACCGTAGCCATGAGGAGCTGTCTTTTACTCTGTGTGGGTCCCCTTATGTTTGCCATAAGTCTGCTCAATGCTGCTGTAGCTTTGCCCGCTTTAGATGCCGCTTCCTCAATCTGAGCCCAGAATGTTAGTCTGGAGTCCAGTCGAAGGCCTAAATATTTGACTGTTTTTTGCGACATTAAAGTTTTGTCGCATACTCGCATTTCGACTTCTAGCTGTATATGCTTTCTTGTGAGAAAGATCAACTCTGTTTTCTCCGCGGCGAGTTTGAGTCCGTGATCCTCTAACCATTCCTGTGTTCGTATCATTACCATGGTTAGCTTTCGTTGCGCTTCTTCTATATTTCTTGCCTTTATCACTGCTGCAACATCATCTGCAAATGCCACCAGATGTGTATCATCCGGCATTTCCAGCTCTAAGATACCATTGTAATTATCATTCCACAGCTCAGGTCCGAGAACTGATCCTTGCGCTGCTCCTGATGTGATTTGTTTTTCTTTTGGTCCGTCGTGGGTGTCGTAGACTAGCACGCGATTTTTCAAATAACTAGCTATTATATCCATCAGGTAGCGTGGTACTCTAAACTTGTTTTCCAATGTATTGAGAATATCAGCCCATCTTACACTATTGAACGCGTTTCGTACGTCAAGTGTTGCAAGCAAGACAATGTTTCTCGAATAGTGGTTACCAGTCTGTGCAGTCTTTACAGCCGTAACTATATCTTCTATTGCACCTAGCGTGCAGCGTCCTGTCCTGAAACCGTGCTGTCTCGGTGACAAGCCACCTGCTAATTCGATTGCTGTTGTAAGTCGAGGCTTGATCAGTCTTTCAAGGAGTTTTCCAGCGGTGTCGAGCATGCAGAGTGGTCGGTATGCTTCAGCACGTTCTGGGTCGCCTTTACCCTTACTAATTAAAGTTAGTTTCTGTTTCTTCCAAATTTCCGGAAAGTTGCCTTCCATTAAACAAGCATTGTACATTTCTAGTAGTACATGTGGTCGTTCATTTGCGATCACTTTTAGTATCTCAGCCGGTATTCCATCTGGCCCCGGAGCTTTATTATTTTTTAGCGCGCTAGCAGCTGCAAAAAGCTCTTGTAGAGTAAATAGGGGTGGCATTTCTCTCAGGAGATCATCTGATCTACTTGGGAGCACCTCATGTGTCGGGAATAATGTGTCAACTATTTCCTTCATTTTTTCGCTTCCTAGTGATGGGGTGGGTTGTCTGGCACCCAGCTTTTTAGTTACAATCTTGTATCCGGTGCCCCATGGATTGTTGTTTATATCTTCTCTTAGTTCTTCCCACTTCGCCTTTTTGCTTTGTTTTATGGCTTCTTTCAAATTTTTCTTAGCTATTTTAAACAGCACTTTCCAGTCTCTGAGTGCCCCTGAAAACATATCCGACACAAGTGTTATATCTGGAGTTGTGGCTTCACATCCGGGTCTTCTGAATGTTGTAGCGAAACTTAAGTTTGCTACTACAAGCCCCAATCTAGACACCATGTCAAGTACTCGTCGACCGCGTGAGTTTGTCGTCGTGGAACCCCATTCGATTGCTTTAGAGTTGAAGTCCCCTGCAATAATTAGGGAGCCTCCGATTTCTCTAGCCTTATCTTCTATATTATGGAGTTTGTTTTCAAATTCACCAATAGTGTCATTGGGTGTTAGATAGCAGCTAATAACAGTGTAGTCATTTGTCCTCACCCATACAAAACCTTCCCCGCTTCCATTATTCACAGCGTTAAGTGTTCCTTTTGATGGCGTCCAGATAGCTGCGGTTCCAGTGTGGTCCTCATACCATCCTGTGCTACTACTTTTCTTGTATTGCTCGCTTATGATGACGACGTCGATTTTTCGTTCTAGAACTAATTGGGAGAGCAGAGCGTCAGCCGTCTTGCTCCTATGCATATTTGCTTGGAGTATTCTCATATCCTTTTGCTAGCTTCACATTTATGGGAACCCGGTATGTGGTCCACCTTGATGCATCCTTTACTTGCGCAAATGCAGCATTTTGGCGGCCTTGTGCACTCTTTCAGCTTGTGTCCGCTTTCTCCACATCGAATGCATAGGCCTTGACCTTTTCTGTCAGGTCCTTTGCAATTGTATTGAAGATGTCCTGTTTCAAAGCATCTGTAACAGCGTTTTACATCTTGTAAGAGTTTAATTCTGCATCTTACTAAGCCCACACGAATACGTTCCGTCTTTTGTAGTGTTTTAGCTGCTTGGCTTGATATGCATACATAGGCTCTCCGTTGTTCTCTGGTATTTGCACCAGAAATTTTTACATCCATTTGCTCCGTGGGTTCTTGGAGTGCAATTCTTACTGCCGCTCTTACCTCATCATCCGTTGTAAGGCTATCCAAGTCGCGGATTTCTATTTTTGCACGGGGTTTCAATTCAGTTACTTTTGCTACATCTCCCATTGTTCCTTTTAATTCGGCATAAAAGTCGTTTTTTTTACCACCTTTTCCTAGTTCTAAAAGTACAGCCCCACTCTTAGTTTTACGTATGGACCGGATGGCCACCTCTTCATCATCTGGTTTTATCTTCGTTCGGAGGTCCTTAAGGATATCCGCGTATGTGTGTCCTTCGTTTGGTTTGATGAGGACAGCTTCGGGTTTCTCACGGATCCTGGGCTTCTCTTTTCGTTTTGCCGCTTTCTTTGGAGGTGCTTCAGGCTTTTTTGACGTTTTTTGTTTTTTGGCTGTTACCTTTACCCATTTTTCTTCGTTTTTTCCTTCAGCGCCTTCGGTGGGGGCTTCAGATTCTTTCATTTTCAGCTTTTTCTCTGGTGTTTCCGCCACTGGGCTTGTAGCTGTACGTTTTTGTCGCTGCACGGTTTGTGTGTCTACCGCATTGGTATCCCTTCGTGCCTTTTTTTTGCTTCTGCCTTAAGCCAACGACGGTGGTAGTAAGCCATCGTATCGAACTGCGTCGCCAGTTCGTGTACCCCCTCTTTAATGTCCGTCGAGACATTTCTTTGCCGATTTACGGCTTGCTTTATTTTGTTTAAGGCGACTATGCATTTTTCAAATGTCATCGCCTCTTCACTCTTCATTCTCTGGGTAATATCATTTCCCGGTGAAATGAGTACATTTGTTTGTGGTGGCACCTTTGGCGTGCCCTCGTCCATTGCGGACTTCCTTTGGCCATCCTGCAGTGGCACTTTCGGTAACATCTGTGGTGTGTTAATATCATTTCCCACTGAAATGAGTACATTCTTTTGTGGTGGCACCTTTGGCGTGCCCTCGTCCATTGCGGACTTCCTTTGGCCATCCTGCAGTGGCACTTTTGGTAACATCTGTGGTGTGTTTTTGTTTTCTTTATTCATATCGATAGGGTCCAAACTCCTAGCCGCTATCGATGTTCGATTGTATAGTCGCTCGTAACGATCCCCATGGTTATCTATGCAAAGCAGGGAGGCCATGCGAGGGTTGACACAATTCCTTATGGGAGATTGTGTTCAGAGCCAGGATCTGGCGCAAGTCAGGAGTACTCTCAACTGAGCCTATACCACCAACTTAATGGTGACGAGACATCGAACGTACTTGGAGACTTGCCAAGTTTTAAAAGGACGAAGGAAGATGTGGCATTAACCTGGAAGCCATTTCTATGAGATTTCACTCTCATATACTCAGGTAACAGAATACCACATCCGCCAGCCCAAAAATCATCGTTTAAGTAGTTTGTTCCAGTATGCCATAATCAGGATCTTACTGGGCTCAATCCTGATGGGTGTTTAAAACCCTGAATTCATAATCACGTCTATTTGATATGCATTGTCTGTTTCGGTGTGCATATTTTCTGCTTACGTGCCTAGTATAGTTTTCGTTGGGCACGAAAGAACTCCATCGATGGTGCAGATGCTCGCTCTCGGAACAGTGCACTCCCCTGTATCCCTCGATGATGCGCAGCTGTTTAACCACTCTCTGCGCACTTGGATGTCCCTCGTTGCCATCCCGGGATGGTGGACGCTTACTTAGAGCCGGCGTCTACTCGGCTCAGCTCAGGAGCTTCTCAGGGTTTTTGTGACCTTTTACGTCACACCCTCCGACGCCTGGCTGGATTTTAGTCGCCTCGTACGACAGGCATGCCTTACCGCGGGAATATTCTAACCCCTATCCCGCAGGGGGAATAATAATAATAATAATAATAATAATAATAATAATAATAATAATAATAATAATAATAATAATAATAATAATAATAATAATAATAATAATAATAATAATCCGCCCCACGGAATTGGAAGGTACCGTGGGATGCCGAGCTCAGGCAAGCGGACGGGTCCATAGGTTGCGGATAATGGAATGGCCATCAGATATGATGGTTAGCTGCGAATAAGATGAAAATTAAATAAGCAGTCCCGGACAATGAGCGGAGGCTGTCTATGAATGTGATTGGGGTAAACGAAGGGGCTCTTTTATCTCCAAGAAAAGATCACAAGATTCGAATCCAACCTCGACAAGGCGAGCTGACACCGCCTTTGAATAAGTGTCTCCCCCAAAATCTCTAAAACCCTTCTATCTCAACGTCTGTTTTCGCTATTTAGTGCGGCTGGGATTTAAATAAAAAACCTAAAGCGACTGACTCAGAATGGGCGGCTTTTAGGTCAGTGTCTGACTCCATGTTAGGAGCGGCTGGACGATATACCTGGTAGTAGGTATAAAATACCACCCCGTGTACTACGAGGTGTGAACAAATAGTACACAATGCAGTCACAAAATAATGTAAATCTGGGGAGATCGGATAACCCCACCGCGTCGGGATCGCATAACTCTCGCGTGCAGGATTTGGTACCTGGGTCCTGTTCGACAAGTATGCCACAGAACAACAGAAATAGAACACCTTTGCAGTCCGGTGAACAGCATATACATTCCGATATAGCTCTTACCGTGGCTGGCAGACCACGACAGCGCAGAAAATGGACTAATACTATAAATGAAGATTTATTACGCGCCTACTATATAGCTACAAACAATGAAAGAGATATGACAGCATATCGAACTACACTACATACAATATTCGTTGGGCACCATCCGGACTATAATGTATCCGAACAGCGACTAGCAGATCAAGTACGGGTTATTCATAGAAACAATCTTATACCAGAATCAAGACGAAACGCTATCAAAGAATCGGTTGCCGAAGTAAGTAATGATCAATCGACAGAAACTGCAGAAAATGAGCAAGTGCAATTTGAATCAACTAATACTTCTACAAACGTACATGTACCAGGAACACGTAATAATGTAAATACGATAGAAGTGGAAAATGAACAACCACCTCCTGCTTTAAATGTAAATTTAATTGATGTCGATGAAACCACGGATCAGCAGGAAGATGTAAGTAATGAACAAATGAGACTTAGAAGTAGTCAGCATAGCTTAAATGAGATTTTTGAACAACAATTTGACATTTACAGTAACCTTAACCCTCTTTTAAGGCCACGCATTCCGAAAATTAATACTAGTAAGAAGCTAAGTTTTCTTATTGAAACACTTAACAATGATGCGATCCTGACAAAACTGAACAATGTGAGCAATTTGCAAGAATTACATACTATTGTATATGTATCAGCTATAACAATTGCTACTACAATGGGATGCAAGATAGGACAACCCAGAGATGGACCACGAAGAGCTGCAATTTATGGAAATAAGAGTAATACGCTACGAAGAATACAAATTAAAATTGATCATTTAAGAGGAGACTTAGAAAGAATAAATAAGTACATTGAAGGTAATCCTACAAGAAGACTTAAAAACAGGATCAATAAGATATTAAAAACATACAATCTTCACACACGCTACGAAACAAATCACACGAATATTATTAACACAAGAGACACTATAAAACAGAAACTATGTGTACAAGTAGCGAGACAGCGTAAATACAAGTTGTCGAATCAAAGACGAGAAAACAATAGACTCTTTAACAACAACGAAAAGCAATTCTATAGAAAAATACGATCCAATGCCAATACGTCAGACGACGTATATCCAAGTAAGAATAGTGCAGAAAATTACTGGAGTTCACTGTGGTCCAATACACAAAAACATAATGAATCCGCTCTTTGGATTGAAAAAGAGAAAGAGAAATATCAAGAAAAAAAAATGTCAACTTGTTTAATTACATGTGATCAGGTCAAACGAATTATAGCAAAAACACACAACTGGAAATCTCCTGGACCAGATCACATACAAAACTTTTGGTTTAAAAGATTTACTGTAGTCCATCAAAAATTAACTGAACTTTTAAATGAAT